TAACAGTTGATAATCATCACTATCTAGACTAGTAATAGGTTACAATTAACAGTTGATAATCATCACTATCTAGACTAGTAATAGGTTACAATTAACAGTTGATAATCAGCACTATCTAGACTAGTAATAGGTTACAATTAACTGATGTTAACCAGCATCATTTAGATTTTCATTTGATAAATCTGACTAATTACTAATCAGCATTATTTATGTAAAAAATTGGTCACAATTAATGAATGATAAACGATACTATTTAGATCAGCAACTGGACACACTTAACAGATGATAAACAGTACTGTTTAGATATTCTGTGGAAATAGACAGATAAAAATAAACATTTCTAACATTTTTGGTCAAATTACTTTAACTAAAAAATGATTCAATAACATAATATAATTTAAGCAATGCTAATTACAACTGTGTAAGTAGAATTACACGTATCTCTCTTCTAAACTATTCGTTGTCCTAGTGAGGTAATGTACTAATCCTTTAAGAATTTCATTCTTTAAAAAAAAGATAAGTAAAAACTGGGTGTTAACTGGTGAAGCAGTTCAAATAGTTTGTGGATTATTTGGTTTTAAGAATTCAAGACATTGAGTACACTCAAGTAATATAAAAACATATAAATTACACCATCTACCCATCCACATCAATACTAGTCCATACCAATGTAGGCTTTAAAACAACCTGAATACATTATTGTGGAGCTGGAGGTGTGAATATTCCAATCAGACAGAACAGCAAGCTATTCGAGGCTGACACTGGTAACTTAACTAATCACTTAATTTGTTATTTGGCATATTTCTAATGGAGAACTAAAGGATTACATGTAAATAAATGTAAAATTAAATATAAATATAGTAACATGTCTTTTCTAAAACATCTATAATGTGAGTTTATGGACTTATAACTATCATAGTTGAGATAATATACAAGTTAGAACTTTCAAAGTCAGGAATTAGGCCTTACAATTGATACATGTTAAAACTTTCAAGTCAGAGATTAGGCCTTACAATTGATACAAGTTGGAACTTTCAAAGTCAGGGATTAGGCCTTACAATTGATACAAGTTGGAATGTAAGTCAGAGATTAGGCCTTACAATTGATACAAGTTAAAACTTTCAAGTCAGAGATTAGGCTTTACAATTGATACAAGTTAAAACTTTCAAGTCAGAGATTACTCCCTACAATTGACAAAGTGATTCTTCCTTAACAATACTAAGAATATGAACAACAATAAACCAAAATATATGATCTTGTGTATTAAGTGAGTATTTTTAACTATCAAGAAATCAAAAACTTCAAGTTTAACATGAATTATTTATCACAAATTCTGAATGACCCATGTAAGATCCAAAACCCGTTTCTTGAGAACTGTACATAAAAAATACCAAGTTTTGTTCAAAGAGAAATAGCTCCATCTAGATTTATTCTAATATTTTCTTGAAAATATAAAATGTATTAAAGGTTGAATGTTTTAGCTGAACTTGGTCCTGTAAATAGTTTATCCAGTAATTTATAACTATGACTCACATTAAAATGTGCTGGACTTTCCATTTAGCATGAGGGGGAAAAAAAGAGAAACTTCTTGTTATTGGCAAGCATGCATGGAAGTCATATATATAGACACATGTTTAAAACTTCAATGATACTGAATGATTACCAGAATGTATTGAAAGCATTTAAAATAAGAGAATATTATTTCACTACTTTAAGAGTACAAATTTCATTTTGATGTTATGCTATAATATCATCAAGTAAAATGAGTTAGTGTTTATAATTAACAATACTTGTTTATATGACAAAATAAAAAATTACACACAATCTAGAGAGACCAGGTTATATTAACAACACCTACATCTCACCACCAATCAAAACTTATTTACGATATACTAGCACTATTACACATATTCCAGAATTTCAACATAGTGAAGTCTGAGTTAAAGTTCAAAGATTCTAAGAAGATTTCAGGAAAGTGAAGTCTGAGTAGAATGCCATGTATTGTACAAAGGTTTTAACATAGTGAAGTCTGAGTTAAAGGTCAAAGATTCTAAGATTTCAAAATTGTAAAGTCTGAGTTAAATGTCACATTCTAAGAAGATTTCAGGAAAGTGAAGTCTGAGTAGAATGCCATGTATTGTAAGAAGGTTTTAACATAGTGAAGTCTGAACAAAATGTCATGTATTCTAAGATTTCAACATAAGATAGACCAAGTAAAATGGCAAATACTCTATGACTTAAACATGGTGACGTCTGAACAAAATGCCATGTATTCTATAAAAGGTTTTAACACAATGAAGTCTGAACAAAATGTCATGTATCCTAAGATTTCAACATAACATAGACCGAGTAAAATGGAAAATACTCTATGATTTAACCATAGTGAAGTCGAGGTAAAATGTCAGAAAGCTTACCTCACACCCATTTTCCAACACAGTGGTGTCCACATACTCTCCATAAGGAGACAACTGCACCCCAGGAGGTTTAGCTGGAGAGGTTAGAGTGTGCGTATATTGAGGTATGGCGTGATAATGATACACCTCTGATGAGGCTGGAGTGGTTGTTGCAGCTGTAACTGTAGGCACTGATGGAACAGCAGAATAAAGGAACTGGCCAGACACAGAGGAGCTCTGAAATTAGTTTTGCGATAACCATATTAAAACAAATTAACAAATGCATGTTAGTATTCTGACCACATAGTTGACATATTTACCAAAAATTAGAGCCTCGTCAGCTACACTACCAAATAAGATATATTTAGACATTTCAGCCTCAGACTCAAACTGTTATATCTGTGTATTTTCTGTTAATATTGTATTTCAGAATCCATTCTTAGGAGAGGAGGATATGCATCCTCATTGAAGGAAACTTTTTAAGATATCAAGGAAACTTTATTTTTTAATAAACATTGGAGCATGCGTTAATGTGACTGCATCTTGCATCAGGCTTTTTAAGCTAAATAAATGACAAACTTCTAAATATATCACAAACAAATGATAATTTGTATATTAATTTTCAAAAATAATTGCCATCAGGCCTAAAATTATCATAAAAATCACAAACTGTAATTTTATTTTTTTGACACATTCCACATTTCGGATTCAAAATAGACAAATCAAGAAGATAGTGGGAAACAAGTTTTAGGTCTATTGGATTCTAACATTTAAATATCTTTAGACATTTGAACAATAACTGTTGTTATTAAGGATACAGTCTTTTATTTAAACAGGAACTATCGTTATTAAGGATACAGTCTTTTATTTAAACAGGAACTATCATTATTAAGGATGCAGTCTTTTATTTAAACAGGAACTATCATTATTAAGGATGCAGTCTTTTATTTAAACAGGAACTATCGTTATTAAGGATACAGTCTTTTATTTAAACAGGAACTATCGTTATTAAGGATACAGTCTTTTATTTAAACAGGAACTATCGTTATTAAGGATACAGTCTTTTATTAAACAGGAACTATCGTTATTAAGGATACAGTCTTTTATTAAACAGGAACTATCGTTATTAAGGATACAGTCTTTATTAAACACTATCAAGAAATCAAAAACTTCAAGTTTAACATGAATTATTATCACAAATTACTGAATGACC